TAGCGATAATTTAGGTTCTAGCTTGGACATCCATTAATGAAACACAATGGGTGGAGCATATTATAGTGAAGGAATCTCAAGCCAAGGTAGCTAGTGGGACCTTGACCCACAGATAAAATAACAACTTGTTCTTGTGTGTGTGTGTGTGTGTTTAATAGAAGCAGATCATGTTAGAGACCAGTTACCATTGAGTTGATTCCAGTTCATGGTGACCCCATGGGTGTCAGAGCAGAAATGTACTCTGTGGTTTTTAGGCAGCAGATTGCCAGGCCTGCCTTGTAAGGCCCCTCTGGGTGAACATGAATCCTCCAGCCTTTTGGTTGGCAGCAGAGCACATGAACCATTTGCAACTCCCAGTGATGTCCATTGTATTACAGAATATCATAAAACCCAGTGTGAGCTTTAAGGCTACAAGAAAAAAAAGAAGAGACATGTATTAAATTTCATTTGTCAGATTGGGCAATTCTTATTTCTATACCACTAAACTTATTTAAAGGAGTTCTGGTAGCACAGTGCCTAAGGCATCAGACTGCTAACCAGAAGGTTGCTGGTTCAAACCCACCAGCCACTCCTTGGAAGGAAGACGGAGTCATCTTCTATAAAGATTTACTGCCTTGGAAGCCTAATGAGGGTTGCTATGAGTTGGAATCGAATCGATGGTAATGAGTTTGTTTTTCTTAAACTTATGTAAGCCTCTAGTAGAGCTTAAGATGTTATATATTCTAACCCTCTTCTCCTGGCTGGTTCTTTATTAGTATTTAGTTATCTTCCTTGGGTTTGAAGATGTATAATTGACAGTAATTAGAATCAGACCTTGTGCAGGTTCCCAGCAGGAGGGTGGGTGGATAGAATAAAAACTCTGCATTTAGGATTGAGCCTCGAGCTAAAGCAAATGATCAAGGTAGAAAAGAAAGAGTGAGCCAAAAGTGGGAGATGAGGACAACGAAGAAGGTAAAACCTCCATGGCCGGGGGAGAAGGGGATTAAAGATGGTTATGTATTGGTTTAGTGTCCTCTTAAGTCTTTGCTCATGTCTTTTTTTGGTATGTATACTTAAACTTTAGAGGAATCCAATTCTGTGCACCTGAGATTCATTTATGGAAAAGAAAAAACATTTTTTGGACAGTCAGTCTAGGAATGGGAGACCCAAGACACCATCACAGGGCAGAGGGAACAAATGAGGCAGAGAGAGGCAATGACATGTCATCCAGAACAAACGTGACTAGACGTATAACCTCCTTGCCTCAGTCCACCAAGTCTTGCTTTGAAATCTAGAAACAGCCAAGGATGGCGATTGCCCGGAGAAGTGCTTCTTGTTTGCCAGGACCTCATGACACCTTGGAAAAGACTTTTTAGTGACTGTGGTGTAGTAAATTACATAGTGTGGCTTTTCTAGCCATAAGTCTTTGTAAGCTCTGTGGTGGAATTTGCCATGAGCAACTGAATAGCTCCTGATTGTTAGAGTTATCCACCTGGGGTATTTCTGTTGAGAGCAGCATGAAGCACTCTTCTGGGAAGTTCTCTTTCTCTCACGTATAGAATTCTGATGTTGGAATTGGTTAGTTTGGCCACTCTGCCAGGCTCAGAAGAAGCCCTCCTAGAGGCAGAAGTGGTCTCTCTGACAGCTGGGTGAGAGAGGTGTGCTGCTGAGAGACACATGCTCCTGAGAGACATGCACTTGCTGAGAGAGAGATATGAGAGACAGGTGCTGCTGAGAGACACATGAGAGACATGTGCTGCTGAGAGAGACGCAAGAGACGCATGTTGCTGAGAGAGAGAGATGTGAGAGACATATGCTGCTGAGAAAGAGACTGCTGGCTGCTAAGTGAGGTGGCCAGCTGCGAGAGACAGTGCATTTCTGAACTTGAATTATAGCCTGTTGCTTCCCTAATAAATTCCATAATCTGTGAGTTCTGTGTGGCCACTGCAGTGAATTATCGAACCCAGTGGAGAGGTGGTAGGTGCTGCGGGAGGAAAGGTTGGTGTCAGGGTTGGTGAAAGGGCTGGAGGGAGACAGCATGTCTGACCTTGCAGGAATAGGCCTTGGGCTACTGATGGTGATTCTGTCTTCCTCTTGTGGGGTTAGAGGAGGTCAGAAGATGCGGCCTCCCTCCCCCTTTGGCAGTGATGCAGGAGACCTTGCATCATCTGAGAAGATGGGGACTCTGAGGTGTAAGGAGGTAGATTGCTCTTCTTACATTCACTCAGCTATCAAGGGACTCAATTTAACTTGGGCCTCTTTGCTCCCAGATTCATGTGTTCCATGTGGTCACTACTACTGCATTGGGATTTTTTTTAATGGGATTGGGGTGAAAGTTTACAGAGCAAATTTGTTTTCCATTCAAAAGTTCATATGTATTTTGTTTTGTGATATTGATTGCAGTCCCTGCAATGTAACGACAGCTCTTTCCCCATTCCTTCCTGTGGCTGCCTTTACCCTGTGTCCTTCTTTCCTATGCGTCTGTGCCCTTGAACTTTCTCCCTGTGCAAATGCTGCCCTTCTCATCTTCCATGGCTGATTGTTCTAAGGAGGGTACCAACCTAGTGTTCATCTTGTAGGCCTGCCTGTTGTTTAGCTGGAAGCCATGAGAGTGAGTTCAGTTTCAGGCCTGCAAAGTGACTAGGGGCCATAGTTTTAAGGGTTTCCCCCGTTTGGGTCAGACCAGTAAGCCTGTTTTTTTTTTTTTTTTTTAATGATTTTGAATTTTGTCCCACATTTTTCTCCCACTCTATGCTGGGCCTCCAGTTTTGATCCCTTTCCGAGTGATTGGTAATGGCACCATTTAGTTCTTCTGGTCTCAAGGTCTTGTAGGGTGAGGTCCCCATGGTCCGCTAGTCCTTTGGACTAATTGTTTCCGTGTGTCTTTGATTTTCTTCACTCTTCTTTGTTCCAGACAAGGAGAGACCAATTGTTGAATCTTTGATGGCTGCTTGCAAGCTTTTAAGACTCCAGTCACTGCTTGCCAAAGTAGAATATAAAGCAATGTTTCTGTGTAGTATTTTAGTTGAGCTTGATGTCCCCTGTGACCATGGTCCTGAGCCCACAGGCCAGCAACCCACTTTCAGATGGTATTTTAAAAGTCATTTGTTTTTTCCTAGAGTGAAAACACAGTCTGTGAAAGTAAAAGTAAGAGATTTATTGAAGGTCCAGAGGTGGTCCACACTGGGAAGACGTCCAGATTCACAGAGTGAAGATGGCTGTTCTCCCATACAATGAGAAAGAAAACCTTTGTGTAGAGTTGGAGCAAGAACTGAAAGTTACAAAGTCATAATTGACTGAAGGACAATTGGGGAGTCAAAGGCGGTATCTAAAAGGGGATTTAGAAGGGATCGGTGGGTAACATACAAATGGGATGACATGATTGATTAAGTGTATGTGCTCTTCAGTTTATTACAGGAAGTCACAGGACAGTGGCAGGACAGTTTTTTTTTTCTAGTCATGTGTTACTATAATTGCTTTCTTTATCATGTCTCTTTCTGGGGGTCCATTGTAAAGGTGTGTTGATAATGCTGTGCATCAAGCCCCTTCGGGCATAAGCTGTCACATCTTGCGTCTGTTTGACCACAGAAGAAAGACCCTTTAGGAATAGATTGTGATATCCTGCACCTGCCAGACCTCAGAGAAAAAAATTGTCTCCTTTAGGGTATATGGTTAGGTCAACACCAAGTTAGAGGAACTGATGTTAGAAGCCCAAAATCTAAGCCCACTGCCCTAGGCAGTTCCGACTCAGCTGTCCTCATAGGGTTTCCAAGGCCATACATCTTTACTGAAATAGATTGCCTCATCTTCCTCCTGAGGAGCAGCTGGTGAGTTTGAACCACTGATCTGGTTAGCAGCCAAATGCCTTACCCACTGTACCCCCAGAGCTCCTTGCTGTTAGAAGAGGCATCTTTAAAATTCAGCATGGGTTCTAGACTCATGCCAAGACTTTGAAATGGAGTGAAGGCCCTGCTTTCAGGCAGTGCTGTTTCCACACACCAGGTGCCTCTGGTTAGTTCCTCTTACCGTGTTGTTTGGATGCGTGCTTTGTTGTTCTAGCTCCCCCTCCCACTGGGGAAGGTTTGAGAATTGTGTTGCAGCAGCTTTCTCCCAGTCCTGTGTGATTGGCAGCTTTACGTACCACTAACCTTGAAGCAGTTTGCTTGGTTCCTTAGAAAGCTTGGTTTGATGTTTCTAGGGCAAGACTGACACAGAGCAGGAGCAAAATGACCACAGAATGGTAGTATTGTTCATTGAGTGTGCTTCCAATGGTAGAGTAAAATTAAATCAGTCCTTTAACAATTTTACATCTAGGAAGATTTTGAATCTCTTTAATTCTGTCCACATCAATGCTATGTATATAATGTATGTATATTACAATTCAAGTTCATTTCATAATTGTTTTGTATTGAAAATAGCTTATTTGTCCTTACTGAATATGATCACCCAACATTTATTCTGGGTACCAAAAGGATTAAGATTCCTTTTTGTTGTTCCTATTTAAGTTATTTGTAAGAAATAACGTAATCAATCACAAGAAATGTAATATAAGATATTAAATAAGAAAAGTATTTTAAGTTCTTGGCAGGTCAAAATAGGAAAATTCCATAGATTTATCTTTAGAAATTATGCTCAATCCAAGCTTCTGAGTTTTAGTTTGGTTTGTGTTACTTTTGGGTTAATTATGCAAGATTCTCTTTGAGGGTTACTCAACATTCTGTGCCCTATAGGATTTGCTTTCTGTATGTTATTTCTTATTAAAATTGTGAATTGGATGCTGAATACATTTTAAAGATTTACTTGCTTTTTTTAATGTACATCCAGACGAAAAAGCTAAATATATATATACATGAAACAATTTTTCCTCTTTTACAGAGTTCAATGTGAGGGACTCTGATGTAAGAGTTTGTGATGACTCATCATGTAAATATGGAGGTGTCTGTGAAGAAGATGGAGAAGGTTGGAAATGTGCATGCCAGTTTCAGGTGAGGAAACCAGACATACATGTATTTTCAATTTTTTTTATTTTATAATTCAACATTCTTCAAGCTCCAAATACTGAACCCCACAAGGAAGTCAGAGTCTCAGCCTACCAAATCTCTTTTTTTTTGACTGATACAGTCCTACAATTAGTACTTTCATGCTTTGTTCATGGAATTAAGAGGACACACTGGCGATAATTGGTGTGAAGATGATTTGAAAAAAATGCCAGCAAACATAAGGTATTACTGTCACTGAAAGAAAATAGGCACTATTTGCAGTAGAGTCTGTTACTTTACATGTTGCCTTTCTTTTTTGTTTCCTTGTCCTAGTCTCTTTCTCTCCCCCTTCCACTTTTATTTGCTCTTGTCTTACCTCTTTAGGCAAAGCATATGACTGACTTGGAACCTCAGGTCAGGTCAAGGTTAGGGATGGACAGGAAAAAGGAGCGTTTCTGAATGTCTTTCCTTTTCAGATGCTGTTTTAGTTGGAGTTCTGTTGTCTAAAAACTGTAGAATATAGGAAGCAAAATATGTTACATTCAATTCTTCCTTTTTGTTTATTTTCTATGATTAAATTATAATCTGGCTTCGTGATGTTTCTCACAAGATGGTCCCCAATTCAGGGTTTGAAAGGAGGCAGAGAAGAACCAGAACTTTTTTCATTTGTGATTTTGTTCTAAACTTATCTGCCATTTTGGATTTTAAGGGGGAGGAAAGGGTATAGAAAGCAGGAATAGGAGTCTTGGAGTGTCAGTGTTTCTGGTAAGCCAGTATAACCTCAGGCAAATTTTTATATGATCCCAGGTAGTTTTCTCTGCATCAGTATTCCATCTGTAAGGAAAAGGCAGTTTTTGTACTCTCTTGGTACTGTAATGAGAATCAGAGTCGGAAAGAGCTTGTATATGAAAACTCTTGGAAATTTATAAACCATCATGTTACTTATTTTCATTAAGAAAAATGGAGAGTTTAGGTAAAGAAGGATATGTGGTTGTACTGTTGTCCAGCTATTAGAGTTCTTTATCGTCAGAAAGGGGCTTTACGGTCAATTACTTGGAGTGGTATGAAGGTTTCTCTTGGGTAGTTTCACAACAGCCATCTTAGACGTGGCTGAGCTAATGCCGTGTCCACCCTTACATGGTGACTCACGTGGTGTAGGCTGGCCAGTCTCTTGTGACTGGCTGCCAGGCTCCTCCCTAAAAAGGAATAACAACTAAAGTGGACTTCTTTCTTTAAAAGATACCTGCATGTATGTGGTCTAGCGAGCGCCATGTAACTGCTTTCAAGGAAGATGATAAGGAACTTCTTTTTTAGGGGGCACAGTAGATTCAGGGTCTTCCTGTCTTTGGCCTGTAACCTGCTTGACTGCTTGTCTGGCTTTGTTGTGCTCCTTTGTTGGACGTGCAGTTAGTAGCTCCTCCTTGGGTCCAGTTTTATCCCCAGGACTTATCAACCACTTTTAGCTGTCTTGGGATTCTATAGAGAAACAGAACCAGTGAGGTGTGTGTGTATTTATGTACTTCTGTAGTGATACCACCTCGGAAACCCAAGGAGGGGTCGTTATGAGTCAGGTCCAACTTGATGGGACATAACAACAACAACACAGAGATTTATTTATTTATTTATTTATTTTAAGGGAGTGGCTTATGCGATTGTGGGTGCTGGCAAGGCCAAAATCTGTAGGTCAGACAGTGGGCTAGACACTTACAGACCCGTGTCCTGAGATCTATAGGTCAGGCAATGGGAAGAGTTTGGCGATGAGAGAGAGAGAGCAAGTTCTGTTGAAATATAGTGTATAGTCTGGAGGCAGAGCACATACTAAGGAAACTGCCTTTTGAACTGAGTGATTGATGCCATTGTATTAGATTACATTATAGAGCAGCATCTAGTCTAATGTTTGGCCAAACCCCTGTGAGAACCATAGTCTAGACAAGGTGACACATCTAATGAACCATCACACTAGCTTTACTTACCTTAACACTTGGTAGTCAAACTGCTAAAACGAAAGATAAAAAGAAAAACCTTAAATATATTCCTTTTAGAGAGAGTAGAGCGGAGAAAAACGGTAATATTTGACATCCCTGTAATGCCACCAAGGAGCCCTGGTGAAGCAGTGGTTGAAAGTGCTCGGCTGCTAAGCAGAAGGTCGGGATTCAAACCCACCAGCTGCTCCGTGGGAGACAGATGTGGCAGTCTGCTGTTGTAAAGACTTACAGCCTTGGACACTCTAACTCCGCTCTGTCCTTGAGGGTCTCTGTGAGTGGAAATTGACTCATGGCAGCAGCTTGGTATGGGTTTATAATGCCACCTAGGTTAGTTATCTGTTGCCGAGTAACACACCGACATTTTGGCTTTAAATAATGAGCGTTTATTAACTCCCAGTGTCTTTGGACTGGGAATTTGGGTGTGGCTTATGGGGTACCTCCGACTCAGCTGTCCCCAGACTGCAGTCAGGGTGTTGACCGGCTGCTGTCCTCTCCAGGCTCCACTAGGCTTACTCACGTGGCTTTTGCCGGACTCCTGGTCCTTGCTGCCCATTGACATCAGTTTTTCGCTATGCGGGCCTTTCTGTAGGGCTGCTGGCTTTACCCAGAAGGAGATGAGAAGCCAGTAATGCTTGATTTTCTCCTTGCGTGTGATGTGTCATTTTTCTCTGGCTGCTTTCAGGATTTTCCCTTTGGTTTTGGGCTTTCGTAGTTTGACTATCAAGTGTTTAGGTATGGGTTTCTTTTACTCTGTCTTGCTTGAGGGTGCCTGAGCTCCTCAATCTGTAAATTTATATCATTCATTTAATTTGAGAAATATTTGATCGTTATTTCTTAACGTCTCTTTTCTGCCTCCTCTCTTTCCTCTAATCTGAGACTTCAGTGGCTGTGTTCCATCTTTGATTTTATTTCCAGATCTCCAAGGCTTTCTTCTTTTTTCTTTTTTCCTCTAATTTTCTTTCTGTTCTTCATAGTGGATACTTTTTGTTGACCTACCTCTTATTCATTAACCCTTTCTTCTGTCTTCCTCCTTCTGCCCATCTAGTGAGTTTTCACTTGGGATATTTTATTTGTAACTTTGTAGTTTCCACTGATTATTTTTTTGAGAATGGATCATGTTTTTACAATTTTTTCATATGAGAGTAATTTTAGACTCATTTTACGCATTGTGAATGATACGGTTTAGAGTGTCTAAATTCTGTTATGTTCCTTTGGAGACTGTTTTTATTTTTCAAACCGTTAAGTTGGCTGAACTCAAACTGCAGGCTCTGCTTTCCGGTGGTGAGTGGCAGCACCACCGTCAGTTCATTCCTTTTCGCCTTAAATGGGTGGGCTGTGTGGAGTCGGCCCGCACAAGGATGATTCAAGGTCAGCCAGAAATTTGGTCTGAGTTCCTAGGGATCTGGGACTCCTCTTCTCTCCTCCCTTCCGGGCTTTTCTGTCTGTCTTTCCAGTGGCTTTGCTCCCTGCACTCTGTCCTCTGGTTTTTGAAGCCAGAAAGATTGTGGGCGGTTACTGAGTTTTAGCTACCATGAATGGGAAGACTAGGGCTGTTTTCTTCCAAATGTCTTAAGTATTTCCCTCTCTTAAATCCTCTGATGTGAACTCATTGGGCCAATGGGATGCCTCTGTGCAGAGTGACGTGCTCACCAACGATAGGATAGCAGACTGTCTGTTTGTCTTCAGCCTCTTGGTACTGCGTTTGGTCAGTCTTTTTAAATTTTGTAACTCTGATAGGTGCAAATGAGAAGTTTTTATTTGTATTTGGTTACTAGAGAAACTGAAAATGTGCCAGTATCTGACCATTTTTATATCTTCTGTGAATTAATATTTCATATTTTCCCATATTCTGGAGTGTTCTTTTTCCTATGTGTTGATTTGTAAAGATATATGTATCCTTATGTATGTACTCACATATGTGTACCCGTACTATTCAATCATTTATTATTTACTGCACTGGACATTGTTCTAAGAATTTTGTATAGATTGACTCATAACTCTCAGGAAGAGCTGTGTTGCAGATGCTGTTTGATCTTTTTTGAAAAGGGTGCTATATGTCCCTAGTAAACAACTCGAACAGTGTAACAAAATATGTAATGAGCCATGTGGTCCTTCCAGCCCAGCCCCCAGGAGCTTTTCCCACTGCATCTGTTAGTAACTGTGGAGTTTTCTTCCAGAAGTAATCTCTCTTTATACAAAAGGATATGTGTTTTAATTCCTTTTGAAAGTACATGAGTCACTTAATAGTATTTTTCATTGAGATCATTCTTTTTCAGTTTATATAGATTACCAAAATAATTCTGTATTTTAAGGAAATTATCCTGTTGCCGTTTTCATTTTGTTTGTATTTTTCGATATAAAGAAGTATTAATTTTGATGTCATAGCTGTCTGTTTTTGTCTTTATCGTTCTTCTTTTCTTTACTCTTGGAATGCTTTTTCCTGTACTCTAAGATTATGAAGAAACAGTCTTGTGTGACCTTTATAACAGACTCGAACGGTTAGAAAATCCTCTCGTGATCCTGTTTGAATCCCTTACATTCTTTAATTTGTGGCAAAGCAGGAAAGAGAAATAAAAGTGAGGGATTGAGATCAGTAGACGTTTATCCCCTGCCTGCTTTGGGCTGGATCCTGGGCGCAAAGCTGTGGGTATAAAGATGTTTCGGGACAGGCCCTTACTTTATGGGGGCAGATTGCCTGAGGGCTCACATTGTGGTTGGCGCTTGCTGATGAGCGGACTTTCTGTCTGCTCTGCCTTCTTACGAACCTCTTCAGCTTAGACTGAGGATACTGCTAGCGTGAAAACAATGACCTGATGTGCACGTTCAGCACGTCTCTGCTGGGTGTTATGACATATTGCTCAATTCATTTTTAAAACTGCTTAGGATTCAACGTGCCTTTGATCTAATAAGAGTTTTCTGGGACACAATTTAAATACATTCTAATAGATAACAGGATTGTAAATAAAAGTCTGATCCCCCCCCCATTTTGCTAATAAACCAAAGAACACCAAACCCACTGCT